AGGTCAGAAGTTCCAAGACTAGCTGGCCAACATGGCGAAACCCCGTCTCTACTAAAAATACAAAAAATTAGCCGGATATGGTGGCAAGCGCCTGTAATCCTGTCTACTCTGGAGGCTGAGGCAGGAGAATCGCTTGAACTTGGGAGGTGGAGGTTGCAGTGAGCCAAGATCACGCCATTGCACTCCAGCCTGCGCAACAAGAACGAAACTCTCTCCCCCCCCCAAAAAAAAACAACAACAAGAACAAGTTGGGCATGGCGATTGATGCATGCCTGTGGGCCCAGCTACTTAGGAGGCTGAGGTGGGAGGAGCACCTGAGCCAGGGAGGCAGAGGAGGAGATATAGTGAGCTGTGATTGCACCACTGCACTATAGTCTGGGCAACGAGAGTAAGATCCTGTTTAAAACAAATCTGTGGAGTGAAAGGTAAATAATGGAATATTTTAAAAGTACTATGACAGAACAAAGTACTGGAAGTACTAGATTTGAGTGTAGAATGTAACCTGTAAATCAAGTGTTTCATTTATGTGCCCAGCTCTTACTGAATTTTAGCAATTAAAACATCAAAATTGAAATACTGTACTGCTTAACAAATAGGAAAGCATATATGAAAATAGAATTAAAAGACCTGAACCTTTTTTGTTAATGATTATTTGTTCTAATCTTTGACATGGAAACCCAAATTATTTTCAGTCTAACATATTTGAAATAAAATTATTTAGAAAGTTTGAGGAACTTTGAAGATAGCCCTCCCTTGGTCCAGATTAAGCACACTGCCTGGTTTATTGTAAGGCACTTAGAACATGTAACCAGAAACACTCAATTTTGGAATAGGAATGATTGTTCTACAGCTAAGTACTCTCTCAAAGTCTTTTGTTTTACACCCCTCTCAGGTTTACCTTTAGATATTTTTCTAGGTATTTAATATATTGTGACAGATATGGCAACTTTTATAAAGTTATTTTACTTGAATTGAATAGTACATAAAAGATGTTTTTCACAAAATCCATTAAGAGAGAGGAATAGTAAGAGTAGAAAGATTGTTCATTCTAAAGAGAGTGACATAGAATGTATGTCATTCTAACTGAAAAAAGTTATCAAAAAGTAACACATGGTGATGAGAATGCAGAGACAAAGGAACATTTAAACAGTGTTAGTGGGAACGTAGACTTGTACAGCCATTATGGAGAAGAGAACAGTATGGAAGTTCCTGAACAAACTAAAAATAGAACTACCATAAGATTCAGCAGTCCCACTACTGGGTGTATAGTCAAAGGAAAGTCCATATACCAAGACATCTGTAACCCCATGCTCATTCCAGCACTATTCACAATAGCCAATTTGGAATCAACCTATGTGTCTATCAGCAAATGAACAGATAAAGAAAATGTGTCATATATACCCAATGGAATACTATTTGGCCATAAAAAAACAAAAAATTCTGTCATTCTCAGCAACATAAATGAGCTTAGAAGACATTACGTTAAGTAAGCCAGGCACAGAAAGATAAATACTCCAAGTACTGTACTCACTTCGTGGAAGCTGAAAAAGATCTCCTAGAAGTAGAAAGTGGTGGCCGGGTGCAGTGGCTCACGCCTGTGATCTCAGCACTTTGGAAGGCTGTGGTGGGCAGATTACCTGAGGTCAGGAGTATAAGACCAGCCTGATCAACATGGTGAAACTCCATCTCTACCAAAAATACAGAATTAGCTGGGTGTGGTGGCGCATGCCTGTAATTCCAGCTACTTGGGAGGTTGAGGCAGGGCAATTTCTTGAACCCGGGAGGCTGAGGTTCCAGTTAGCCGAGATGGCATCATTGCACTCCAGCCCAGGCAACAAGAGCGAGACTCCGTCTCAAAAAAAAAAAAAAAAAAAAAAAAGGTAGAGAGTGGCTCATGCCTGTAATCTCAGTGCTTTAGGAGTCTGAAGTGGGAGGATTGCATGAGGCCCGGAGTTTGAGACCAGTCTGAGCAACATCTCTCTCAAAATAAAAAAAGTAGCCAGGCATGGTGACACATACCTGTATCCCTGTCTACTCAGGAGGCTGAGGGTAAGGAAGATCCCTTAGCCCAGGAGTTCCAGGCTGTGGTAAACTGTGATTGTGCCACTGCACTCCAGCTGGGGCAACAGGGAAATACTGTGTCTCTTTAAAAGAGTGGTTACTAGATGGAAAGAATAGGTTCTAGGGTTACCTTGCTCTGTAGCGTGACTAGTTAACTGTAATTTTTGATATATTTTTATATAGCTAATTCAATACAAATGAAAAGGGTTTGAGGGGATGTATATGCTATTATGCTGTTTTTTTATCCCTATATATTGTATTGGAATTTACAGTGTACCCCATAACAATATGTCCATTTAAAAATATTAACAAGGATAGAAGAATATTTACAGTATCATCTATTTGGTTAAATGTTATTCAGCAGTTCTGGCCTGCTGCCTTTTTTTTTTTTTTTTTTTTTTTTTTTTTTTTTTTTTTTTTTTTTTTTTTTTTTTTTTTTTGTATAACCTATGGTCTAAGAATGATTTTGAATGATTTTTAAATTGTTCAGCAAAAATCAATGGAATGATATTTTCTAACACGTAAAATTAGGTGAAAGTTCAATATCAGTATTCATAAATAAACCTTTCTGAGAGCATAGCCATGCTCAATTGTCTTGAGGCTGCTTTCAGCCTACAACAAAAGAATTGAGTAGTTAGGATTGAGAATGTATGGTCTCCAAAGCCTAAAATATTTACTACACAGTCCTTTTTAGAAAACTGCCTCTTATGGATTAGGTGATCCTTAGTGATCGTTTCAGGCCAGTTTGTTTAATGTGCACTACACAGTTGAGCCACCACTTGCAAGGCTTTTCATGTGAACAGGGATAGTGGAGGTGATGAATGTAGGTAAGGAGAGGAAATGAGAATGTGGGTCCCGTTCAGGGGCAAGAGATGGTGGTGGTCATTTTTTGTTGTGTCTCGGAGTCAGGCAATAATAGATTTCCTCTGAGTGGACTATAAATGCTCTCAAGTTAAAAAGTATGTTGTATACATTCAGCCCTTGGTAACAAGGGAAATGATAGAGTTGAAATGTTCTTGTACCTCACTAGAAGCAGAGAAGGGGTGCTAGATATTTCTGTTTCTGATAATGCTGCATAGATAGTGCCACTTAAATGTTGAGCAGAATTAGTTTTCTCTAATAACTCCACCGTTACCATGTGTCCCAGATTGTGATACCTATCCAATACATTTTCTAGAACTTTTTGATCTTCCCATGATGTCTGCCTTCTAGTGCCCCAAAATTATGTGAGATGCCAGAAGTCGTTTGACTTGTGATTATTCTTGCTTTGCTTGTTCCTTATGTACAAGTACATAGCATGAGTGGGCCATAAGCCTTCTTTTGAGCTAAAGTAAGTTTTGAAATGGTACGTAAAACCATACAGAAATTTGGTTAGTCTAAGTAGAGGACAAGCACATGTTTAACTACTTTTGGTAGGGAAAAAAGCGAAGTGGGAGAGCTTACCATTGCTACCTGTGTGTAGGCTAACACTCTCAAACTTTACAGGGTCTAGGAATCTCCATATGTTGGCACTGGTTATTTATTTATTTTGAGCCGGAGTCTTGTTCTGTCTTCCAGGCTGGAATGCAGTGGTGCGATCTCAGCTCACTGCAGCCTCTGCCTCCAAGTTTCAAGTGTTTCTCCTGCCTGAGCCTCCCAAGTAGCTGGAACTACAGGCGTGTGCCACCACACTCAGCTAATTTTTCGTATTTTTAGTATAAATGGGGTTTCATGATGTTGGCCAAGCTTGGTCTTGAACTCCTGACCTCAGGTGATGCACCCGCCTCGAGCCTCCCAAAGTGCTGGGATTACAGGCGCAAACCACCATGCCTGGCATGGTGTTTATGATTTTAAGTGCTGTTTCAAAAATCTGTTAGCTGTTTTTTATTCTCTGGTCCACTAAAGAGTAATCTTTACTGTGGGGTTTATTTTATATTTTTATTTGTCCTAATAGTAAGTGATAGCTTCTCATTTTTCTATTCTTTGACTTTGGAGAGCAAATCTGCTTATCTATAGAAATAATCAGTTTATAAACCTATGCTCTCCTCGAAGAGTTTTGAATTTTCATGTGGCAACTTACTTTTCTGTTCACTTTCTTGACAGAGTAGACCCTCCCAGGTCATCTGCACTTCTGATATCTTTTGAAAGTGAAATACAGCATTAAAAAGAACTTCAGCTATATGATTAAGCTGTCACTTAATATTAGTGTATTTTATATTTCAATAACAAGGTATCTGATTTTGTACAAGTGTAATTAGTGTAATTCAATCTGCCCAAACTTTGGTGCTTTCTTTTCATTTAATTCATAATCAGAATAAAAAGATTATGAAATACTAGAGAATATTCATCATCCATTCACAGCCATGAAGTCTTATGGCTAACAAAAATGACTTCAGTCTCTAATAGTCCTGCATGTAGCTGCCTTATATTTTTATAAAGAATTTTGTTGGTTTCTGAAATTCTCAATTCTCTTTTATGTCTGATGAAATAGGATTTAGATATTTTTTTCAAAATGTATAATACATTTATCTTATGCTTTAAAACGTAGGGACATGATTTTAGTGTGTGTTCACACACTTCATTTCTGAGGTCAGAGCTTTTTATGATGGCTGGAAATACAAATACAAGGCTATTGTTAGTCCTTATAAATAAGGTAATGTTATCTGTCCCTAATTCTGTAGATTTCATTCTTAAATGCAGGTTGTTTTTTATTTTGTTTTTTATTTTTGTTTTTTAGTTTTTTTGGTTTTGTTGTTTTTCCATTAACAGTAATTCCAAGAAAAGCATCAGGGTTCTGGATTGGTGGTTTGAGTGACACAGCATAAGGCCTTTATTTCATCATGCTTTTGCTGTGGATGTAGTGTAGCTTGCTGAACAGGTATGGGTGCTGTCTTTGCTGTTAAGTACTTCTCCAGTTTGTTTATCAACCTGCAGCTAACAGGATGTCTGCTTTTTTACAGGTTTATTTCACAGAGCAGTGTACATTCTTGTCTTCCAGGGGAACTTCACCATGGAGTTACTTTTGATCCCTCAGTTTTAATTCAGTGTCCTAAAGGTTTACAAGTTCAATTTACTCTATTTTATTCAGCCCTTTCACTTACTCTGCCATCACTTCCTACTTTAATAGGAGTTTTAGCTACTGTAGAAGTCTCAGATCTTTCCTTTTAGTATTATTAGCCAGGTAAAACCTTGGTTCTTGTGAGTGCTGGGATGTGTTTTTAGGACAGTATTCAGAGTCTGATGATAGGTTACTTTAATGTCAGGACATCCTTCTAAACTTCCACTTACAGTGTCACATGTAAGCATAAAGTCTGGCTTGTTGGTAAGCCATTACTTTTGTTTTTAGGAAGACAGTTGTTATGAATGCCATGGACAATTTCAGTACATGTTTGTTTGTTCTGATTTTATTCACGCTAAAGGAATGGGTTATTACAATTAAGTGCAGATAATATAGAATTCAGTTTTAAGTCTGAAGTTAGCATAAATTTAGATTCTTCAGACTAACAGAACATGATTTTGAGAAGTTAAATAGGAAGATGTCTTTTTTAAAAGTTTAGCATATTTATTTTTAAAAATTATCTCCCAAATCTTGCTTAGAAATCAAATGTGTGTAAGAGAAGTTAGTTACAGAGCTAGATTGATTAACTACTTCTTTAATGAAGATTTGCTATGAATTTGTTTACTCTTTCATACCACCTTCAGATAGCTAGTCAGTTCAGCAGGAGCA